AAAAAAAATACGAGTGAAATGTTTGATGAGTATTATTCACATTACATCACGTTTCAAAACAACAGCACTAATTTGTCAAAATGTCGAAAAGACCGCCCGATTTATTATCTAAAATAAATGGATGGATGGATTGTCCTTAGCTGGACAACTGAGAATTAAAGCACCTGAAAGGCAGTGGTAATTGAGATTGGAACAGTATGAGCAATAACTCAGGAATTCAGCTGAGAAGAGTTCGAGTCGGACAGTGTGTGTGTGTGGATGTGTGTGTGTGGATGTGTGTGGGTGGGTGTGTGGGTGGGGTTGGTAGGACGTGTGACAGAATCGGAGCTGATCTATTCACACGCAGACTTTTCTTCTTGCTCTCTAAAATAGTCATTTCAATTCAACCTCGAGGACTCATTTACAAGAGACCTGTTTTTAATCAATTTAATAAAATATTTACAAATGTAGGTGAACATAGATGTTTAACATTTTAAAATGCACCAAAATGTATGAAGTGGCATCTTTTATTCCAAATTTTCTGGGTGACCCCCTCCGGACCGCCCATTATTTGTGTTCCAGCATTAATTAGTTTACAAATTAAACCCTGCGATAAACGAGGGTATTTTGGTTTTCCTAAATTGTTTTAACAATTTGCACTTATTTTTGAGAATGCAAATTGTGAATTTATTCAAATAATTGTTAAATTTAACAAAATATCAAAATTTGAAGAACCATTTCTAAAGCCTTTTCTTTGTGTATTAATAGAGTTGTAGTTCATGCACAGTTATTGGGTCCATGTCTGCTCTGACTTGATCATTATGTCCTTGCAATTATTAAAAAATTTAAACTAATGTTTTTTAAAGGAATTTTTTTAGTGTAAACGTTTCCAAAAGAACAGCTTGGCTCATTAGTGTAATAAAAAAGTGAAATGATTTTCAAACAAAGTTAATCCTTCAGAAATTCTGAGAAGTGAAAACTGAAAAACAAATGTTTTGTATCGGATATAAAAGCGCTCCTAAAACATTTTCGAAGGAAAAGATACAAAAATAAATATAAGAAAATAGTTGAAAATCCTTTTTATTTCACTGCCTCCAGTTTTTGGAGCTGCAAGTTGCCTGTAGTGTCCAGAAGTGCAACATATTCAAAGTAAAGAAGTCTTAAACACAGCTCCCACTGAGCTGAAGTGAAAAGATTTTGCCAAGAAGACAGAGTTTTAAGATTTTATGGGCAAATGAAATGAGAGTGACTCTTAATGGAGCAGATGGATGAACCTGCACTGGGATCACTAATGGACGCAGGGCATCACTTCAAGTTGGACCCCAGCTGGGTGGAAGATGGCTGCCGTCATTAAGGAGGAGCTCGGTGCTCTTTTTCTGGCTGACAATGGACTAAAAGTCGACTCCCAAACCTGCTGCAAGTTTCTGGACGATGCTGTCCTCGAGCAGTTGGACAAGAGGGACAGAAACTCTGCATCTCTCTAAGGGGCCACAAAGTCTTGACAGGACAGGGGTCCATTACATGTTCTGCCTCTCTGGTAGTTGGTGAAGAACAGTGTTGTGCAAGTTTCTACTTTATAGGAACTTGCTCAAAGTTCACGTCCCAAGAGAATGAAGCTATGTTTATAATTCACCTTTTAAAGGTTTATAAGTGAATTCACAGTCTACAGCGTGAAGTAATTCTGGTTCATGTATTATTTTTACAACAAATACCATTAAACGAAATGAAATAATTTTCTAGGGCTCACATCAATTTACATCTCTGTTTTTGTGTGCATCTTAGCAGTACTTTTACTGCTTGAATTTCCAATATTAAGGGAAGCTATAATAGCTGCTCTTGCCCACATTTATTTATTCATGTCCTTCATCGTAGAGCGAAGATGGGGAATTGGAAATACCCTCCAGACATCCGGCTGTGTTGTGAGAATGGTAACTTGAAAAACAAATGAGACGCTGACTTGCGTTTTGGTGTGTGGCTACATCTAACCATAAGAAAGATCACCATCAAAATCTGGGTTGCTAAGACAACCTTTTACATTTTATTCTGGGATGTAACCGGAACCCTGTGCACATAATCTTGTTCTACCACATGTACCACATGTGGTGTTTATGACAAATCAATCTCTCGGACTCTCTGACAAAATCCAAGATGGCTGCCACCATATATAAACGTAAATTGACCATCCCAAGTATTTTCAGAACCTGTGCTTTCTAGTTTTTATGAATGGTCAAAGACGCATGTAAGGTGGTCAACGCCACCCCCCCCCCCCCCCCCCCCCGGCTCCTCCATTGCACCTGGTGGTGGATAAAATTACTCCCTCCACTCTCCAGGATTTGGCACTCTGTTCTGCCTTGGCCAAGAAAAACAAAAAAACAACAACCTCCCTCTGTTATTCCACACAGTGTATACCCACTGGAGTATCTTGCACCAAAAACATTAAGGTTTGCTTGCATTCCCTGATCCGTGCAGTCCAGAAAACATTCCTCTCCAAAACTACAAACATTCACCATTCAAATCCCTCAGTGACGGGGGACATCAGCATCCCCCCTGTTTATATTTATGATTGACTGCATTAACATTGTTCAACAAATATATTAATCTGATACATTCAAATTGTCTGTGCACAGATTTATCAAAACTTTGCTTCTGCTGCAAACTTTGTTTTGGTGTAAACTTGTAATTGTTGGCTTTGATGATCAAGGTGCAGCTCTAAATCAATCTTGGAGGTCTGTGTGCTAATCTTGGATGTTGGTCTTGTTGTGAGTGTGTTTATTGAAGTTTTGCCTCAGTCTGCAAAAATTAGTTGTTTTTTGTTGTTGTTGTATTTTAGACGTATGGCTCCTGCTCATTAATATGAGCTGACTGATCATAAAATAGACAATAAGTTAAAATGATTAACTGAATTTGTAAGTTTTTTTTTTCATTAGCATTATTGTAGGATTTTTTTCTTTTTATTTTGGCTGCTCCCTTCTTCAGGGGTTGCCATAGTGAACTAAGTCGCACGAAGACCTGGCAATTGTTTTTACGCATTAATGTAGGATTTACTGTTTGATTTATTTTTGTTTATGTAGGTAGGTAGGTTTGTTTATGTAGTGTATAGGTACTATGTACTTATACACTGCTTGACCACTGAGTAGATGACAATGTTTTCAAACAGGGTTAAACCGCTGGTTTACACACAGACATTTATTTGTCTGAAAAATCAGCTTTTCTGTTGTTGCATTGTGTTTAATTTAAGCAAACGTCAGCCTTAATGCAGCTCAAACTGCGGCACTCAAAGCCAAGTCTTTGTGTTCTTCTCACTCATTCAGCTGCTGGTGCAAAAAGAAGCGGACCTGTTTGTGGAAAATGAAAACCGCGAGACTCCATGTGACTGTGCAGAGAAGCAGCACCACAAGGATTTGGCCCTACGCCTGGAGTCGCAGATGGTCTTCTCTCTGGCCCCCGAGGCCGAGAGTATAGAAGCAGAGTACGCTGCTCTCGACCGAAGAGAGGTACAGAATCAGACCGTAAGAGGCACCGAGTGTCACCCCTTCAATTACTAGAACCAAAATTGAATGTAGTTTGGTCTGTATTGCTCCCATTTTGCCTAAAAATTACATGTTTGTTGTTATTAATGCTTTGTAAACGAGCATTTTTAATAAGATATGTAACTGTATCTTATAACACGCACAGCAGGGGTGTGAAAGTAAAATTTCTAAAGGTTTAAAAATGAACTATTTCAAATCTATATTTTATGCTTTTTGTACCCCTTTTGGATCAAGGCACCAATTTACTAAAAACTCATTATTAGTTCATTGTTGAGTATTTTGCTAGAACCACTTCTGTTTTTTGTCATGAAGCAGTTTTCATTGGAAATAATCAGAGACAGAAATGCACAGCTTAGTCACACAGAGCAGATTGTTGCAGGTCATGTGACTCGTGAGGTCATCTGCATCAGTCCTTTATTAGTTCATTGTGTGTGCCTCAGCAGTCATTTATAGAGCCTTATCTACTTCTTGTCTTTTCTCCCTTTCCCTAAATGTTTATCCTTACCTGCATTATGCCACATGTTCTCCTTTTTGTCAGTTTTTTGTTCTGTTTTATCTGTTCTCTGCCAACTTATCTTTAGCTTCTCCTCTGGTTACTCAGTTCTTGTCAGTGACTTGTTTTGTCCTCTTGTATTTGACCTCTTTTCTCCAGTTGTACGAGGGCCTGCGGCCTCAGGATCTACGGAGGCTGAAGGACATGCTGATAGTGGAGACGGCTGATATGCTGCAAGCTCCTCTTTTTACTGCAGAAGCTCTGCTACGTGCCCACGGTACTAATAAACACTGACACAATCTTCCATCTTCATATTAGTATTGGATTTGTTCTGAAAGCTTGGTGTTTTAAACAGATATTATGCTGTTCATGAAGAAAATTATTAGATTGAAATGAAATGCATTTGTTACTCTTAAAAATATACTCTTAGCTTTTAATTAAATCAACTAAGTGTTGGTTATGCTATTGATTCTTTTAGCAGAAATAATAAAAAAAATATTTTGCAGATTTTTCCATCAGTTGCTGAACGTTATATCATATTTTTGTACAAACCTCCTTTTCATAGAAATGTTCAAAGTAGATTTTTATTCTCCATGTCCTTGTATTAAATGACTCTATAACATTTTAGTGCGGTTTCAGTCTGATTAGGTCTCCATTTCTTTATATTGAACTTCTCCTCGATAGGTTTGCAAGCCTCCTGTTCCTACTGCTGACATTTTCCTTTCTGCTAACGCTGCTAACTTGTTAATGCTGCTAACAAGACCACACCTCCAATAGTACTATGGTGCCAACAGGACCATGTTGCTAAGAGAAACCTCACTGCTAACAGTATCGTGCTGCTAACTGGACCATGCTGCTAGGATAACCTCACTGTCATCAGAACCACTCTGCCAATACGACCATGCTGCTGTAGATTTATTTCTTTTTCACTTTTTTCGCCTTGTTTTTGTATTTTTGTTACATGCTTTGAATAAATCTCAGTTTAAGTTAGTTTTGGGGCTCCGAGCCCGACTCCGCTTGTGTTAAGCGTGTAAATTATAGCCGAACAGAACTTATGAGAATCGTGCTGCTGGTGTTCGGTGTATTGTTTTGCACTGTTAGTGACTAGTGTTTATCTTAGATCTTTTAGCGTAGTGTTTGGCATTCGTTTAGCATATGTCTTTGATTATATCTTAGATCCTTATTTACTGTTTTTTTTTTTTACACTTTATATTTTTGCTATTGTTGGATGTAACTGGGTCCCTGCGTACACAATTTCATTCCACCTCATGCACCACATGTGATGCGAATGACGATAAAGAACCTTGAATTCCTCTCAGCTGCTCCCATCTTCAGGGAGTGCCATAGCGAGTGTCTTCTAAAGTTTTTGACGTGATCAGCCTGCACACTTTCTGGGCCAGATATCAAAACCTTTTCTAGTTTATAATAATTTCTATATGGAAAGGTGTTAAAGTTACAGCACCACATTATTTACTCCAAAGCTGTTTTAATCTTTTTAGAAAGCAAATTTATATTCATTTTAAAACAAGTATTTGTTCAAAGTTCACGTCTTTTTGATTGTGTATCGGTGCTCGTTGACACCATTATATGCAAGAGATCCTGCAGATCCTTCTATTAGAAAAAATGTCCTGTGTTGTTGTTTGCACTAAAATATTTTGTTGAAAGATTTACCACTTCTTATTTATTTAAATCCTTTTGAGTACAATGATGTTAATTTGAGCAATATACATCAAAATGCATATAACTTTACTTTTTTGACATATACGGTGTAGCTGCAAATAACGATGGGTAGCTTTTTGTCCCCCGTCGTGGAGCAATAGGAGAATTGGAAATACCATCTGTCCGTTCGTCCATCCGTGTTGTGAGTCTCTAAACTTGTTTAAAGAGAGCAGATTAAAGAAACTATCAAATGTGATTCACTTAACATATTGTTTTGATTGCTTTGTTAATTTAGATGCAGTAGCTGTTTATAGAGCCATGTGAGCTTCATGCAGTACATGCTCAGAAAAAATAAAGCTGTTCTTTGTTTATTCAACTCCATCAGGGGAAAGTCGGACATTTTAGGAATGATTGTAACATACAGAAGGACTTAAAGTTGTGAGTCATTCAAACCTCAAAGAAACATTACACCCCCCCCCCCCCAATCTTTTCCATTTATCTATAATTTTTCTTGTTGCCCGTCGACTGAACTGCCTGCCTGTCTGTCCTCTGCACTTCTTACAATTAGAGTTTCTCAAATGTGCAATAAAACTTTTTAATTTCAGACTCATTTAAATGGCTCAAGGCATGGAGATAATGTTATACTCATTGATTAGCTTTAATTGAATGGAAATGGGGGAAATTGTTGCGACATTCATTATCTAAACGAGGCCATTTAGAGTCTGAGGCATTTGATTGCCGCTGAACATGCCTCCCAGCTGATAATGGCCTAATTGCCGTTGACCAGGTCATCGTCCTTATTTTAAAAGGGGAGAATATTTAGACTAAGACACAGTCCGCAAGTCATTCACAATTTATGCTGCAAGACTGGGATCTGCTCCTGTGAGAATGAAGAGCTATTCTAAAAGAGAAAACCAGGTGGCAGCAGGACTTTGTTGTTGGTTGTTTCAAAGATCCAGGAGTGTTTCTGATGGAGGGATTTTTTTGTGGACTTTGAATTCAGTTTAGGCAGGTTAGACTGAAAGAGTTGGTTTGGGAATTTAATGTTTCTGAGTTAAGTACAGTATTCGAGATGATTACCTTTATTTCTAGATGTTTTTGTTACAAATATACCTTTACTTTTCTATCAGATTGGGACAGAGAGAAGCTCTTGGAGGCCTGGATGAACAATGCGGAGGAATGCTGCCAGCGCTCAGGGGTCCAGATGCCGAATCCCCCTCCCAGTGGCTGCAATGCGTGGGACACCTTGCCGTCACCCCGAACACCTCGCACCACCCGCTCCTCAATCACCTCTCCAGACCAAATCAGTCTCCTGCCCACAGACGACGAGTCTTCTCTGGTGAGAAACGTCAGCTGTTGTTCTTTGTGGTTGATGTTCTGATCCATTTGACGCAGATGATGCACTAATATAAAACCAGCTGTTACAGTGAGAGGGAGTGTTTATGGAGGCTTTGAAGGCCTTGATTCTACACAGTTACCTGTGGAGATTTGTTCTAAATAAAAAAAATCTGACAGATGTGTGACCTCTGTTAAAAGCTTAAGAAAGAGGAAGAAAGGAGGACACTGAGTTCTGATTCTTAATTATGAGTGCATATCTGCTAACTTGTGCACATTTTGTGTATCAAGCACACATTTTGGCTTCAAAGTGATGAAACGGTAATCAAACAAGCATACAGACACATTGTGAGTGTAGTATGACATATGCAGGATATATTCATACATTTCACGGGTTCTTCATTTTTCTGAACTGTGTAAATGTCGTGCATTGAATTTAACAGAAATGTAACGAGAGACGTTATTTATCTTTGACCCATCAAAATGAATGCGGTCATTTATTTACAGAATCAAAGTTTAACATCAAACATTTACATTAATTTGGCAAAATATGAAAATAACAACAGCATTCAATCAGGAAAAATCATACGGCCATGATTTTTCCGTTGCTTCACCACAGACATTTATGAAAACTGTACAATTATGATCTTAATCCACACGGCGGTGGATGAGCACTTTACACAGACATTTCTAAATATCTGGAAGAATATCTACTTGAGAGAGGAGTTTAAAGATGGGAAGGAAGTTAAAGGGAGTAAAGGATGGTGTTTGAGGGAGAGTGTTGAACAGAACGGCACTCTCCGGGCTTTCTTCAGCTTCTTCCTTACAGTACACTTAGGTGGTGAAATCGACTCTTTTACCTGGAGATGTCTCAGGCGAGATTCCGTTTAACGCACCCTTTCAGCGTCTCAGTAGGATGCTGTGAATCGTCCGACAGTAGTGGCGAGGCTCTGTCCGACACAAGCTCACCTCAGTGGAAATTGTTATAATCCCATGAAACTCGGAAGAGCTCTGTGGTCATGTCAGGGTCTTCCCGGCTCCCACAGCAACTGCACAGCACTAGGACATATCAGAACTGTCCGCGCCGCCGAACTTCTCCAACCAACAGAACTCCACAGAACTGCAGAACTGGGTAAACCAGGAAGTACCGAGATTTTTAAAGAGCTCTTTTCCCGGTTCATTTGGGAGTCTTCCCATTGGTCAGAACCGACCAGACGGGGTGTGTTTTGTGACGTAAGAGGTTAGAAGACAGCAAGAATTGTTATGGAACAGATCAGAAATCCATCCTCCTCCACCATAACCCTCAGCACTGGCTCTCCTCAGGGATGTGTGTTGAGCCCCCTCCTGTTTACTCTGCTCACATATGATTGTGCAGCTACCCATCCAGGCTGTCACATTGTAAAGTTTGCAGATGATACAGCGGTGGTGGGATGCATCACAAACAATGATGAGTCCAGCTACAGGCAGGAGGTGGAACACCTGGAGAGCTGGTGCAGAGAGAATAACCTTCACATCAATGTGAAGAAGACAAAGGAGATGATTGTGGACTTCAGAAGGAACAAAAACACCTACACCCCCCTGAACATAAGAGGATCTGCGGTGGAAGTGGTCTCCAGCTACAAGTACTTGGGTGTACACATGAATGACAACCTCAGCTGGAGCAACAACACCACCAGCCTGATCAAGAAAGCTCATCAGAGACTCTACTTCCTCAGACGGCTGAGGCGAGCTGGTCTGGGAAGCTCAGTCCTCACCTCCTTCTACAGGTGTGCAGTGGAGAGCATCCTGTGCTCCAGCATCAATGTGTGGCATGGAGGCTGCACAGCTGCAGAAAGGAAAGCTTTGCAGAGAGTGGTGAAGGCTGCACAGAAATCTGTTGGAATCAGTCTCCCCACCATCACAGACATCTACACCTCCAGATGCAGGAAGAGGGCCACCTGCATCATGAAGGACCCCACCCACCCAGCACACACACTTTTTGCCCCACTCCCCTCAGGAAGGAGGTTAAGGAGCATTAAGTGTAGAACCACTAGACTGAGGAACAGCTTCTACCCTGAGGCTGTTAGACTCATGAATATCTAACTAGAATAATCACTGTGAAAAACCATATCATGTTGCTGCTGATCTGTTTCATGTTGCTGCTGATCTGTTTCAATGTTGATGTGTTCATGCGTGCACATCTGCTCACAGACTCATGTTCATGTTTGTGGTGATGTTCAATGTTTTATGTTATGAGTGCTTAGTGTATATTTAGTTGATGTTTTTCTTAGTTCATATCTTAGATGTTATTACTGTTTTTCTTATACATTTTATTGTTGGATGTAACTGGGACCCTGTGTACATAATTTCGCTCCACCACATGTACCACATGAGGTGCGAATGACAATAAAGAAACTCTGACTCTGACTCTGAGAAATGTTCTCAGAGACATAGAGAGTTTTGTTTTGGCGAGTTTTAGAAACAGGTGCCAACTCCTTCTGTTTACGTCTGAGAGGATGTAAACAAGACAGTTGTTCCACACATGTCTGCTTCGACTCCTGACCCTGGAAAACGCGCACTTGCTCATTCAAAGACAGAAATCAGAAAATGCATAATTACTCTGTAACAGCTTTAACATGAATTCTAACTCTGCATAAGCATTAAAAATCATTACACTGTTTCACAGTTAATAAAATTGATTAGTTCACTGCAACATCTATAATGGTTTGAACTAAGACACTTTGATTATCAATATTTGTAAAATAGTAATGATAATAAAAAAGAGAGTGTTCTTTTCACTTGATTTTCAAGAAGGAAAGTCTCAGGATGGGTGAACCTGTATTTCTGGATTCAAATCAATGAAATGACAGTTCCTGTCCCACAAGGTTCTTAAGGTCAAGGGTTTTGACCTTAGGCTTAATTTTGACATCAGGTTAGGTTCACTACAGAGTAACTGTGCGGTGCTGAAGTGTACCTTAACGAAGAAGAATTGGACCGATAACAGTGCTGGACTCATTCCCCACACTTTCACCCACTTGTGGAAAAACTGATATCCAGCCTGGATGTGCAGGGTGACCCACTAATTCAGCTCTCTTTATCTTGATGTGTCCTGTTTCCCCCTTTTCGTATCTGCCTGGCCACTTCTTCAAAGGTACAGAGAGGAAAAACTGAACTTATTATAAACGCATTCTGAGTAACTTGTTTATCATCTTTAAGTTGAGAAAAATAACCGTGTGTTGCAGATGTATATTAAAATACTGTCAATAATAAAAGCCGATGGTAGTATCCCTGCTGCCCACATACTTGATAAAAACACATAAATCAGAGTTAAATAAAAGAAACAGAGGAACACATTATAATACTTGAATAAGGTCAAAAAGCTCTTTGTAAGTGTAAAACCTTTAATTATTTACATTTTTCTTTATGCTAGCATTTACAGAAGGAACAGAGACGTCTCCTTAGGAACTGGAAATACTTCAAATTCAAAATGAAGGAGAAAACCAGATTTAGATGAGTAGAAAAATAATAAAATATGTGTATATGGCAGGCAGCACGGTGGCACAACTTGTAGAGCTGCTGCCTCTCAGCGAGCAGGTCCCTGGTTCAAATCCCGACCGAGGGTTTTTCTGGGTGGAGTTTGCATGTTCTCTCCATGCATGCGTGGGTTTTCTCCGTGTACTCCAGTTTCCTCCCACAGACCAAAAACATGCATGTTGGGTTGATTGGTAACTCTAAATTGTCTCTAGGTGTGAGTGAGAGAGTGAATGGTTGTTTGTCTCCATGTGTCCCTGTGATGGACTGGAGACCTGTCCAGGGTGTCCCTCGCCTCTCCCACAGTGACTGCTGGACATGGGCACCAGTGACTCCCATGATCCAAAAAGGAAGAAGCGGGTAAAAGATGATGGATGGATGATGTGTATAAGGCACAAGGCATTTGTGAACAGTTAGTAATCTGTTTCTGCCCGACATATGGAAGCCCTAAACACATTTTTCCTTAATTCTTTGAACATTTTCCTTTGTATTTGTATTATTTCATAAAACGAGTATTTTCTCTGCATTATTTGATTGTCAGGCTCGAGTAGCATGTTGAGTAGCATAAGCCTAAAAACAAGTAAAACTTCCTTTTTCTCTGTTTCTAACAAGAGAACAGACTTTTTGTTGGTTTGCCTGGATTAAGAAGGTTAATACAAGTTGTTATTAATGTATTTTCTTAAAGTCAGTTTGCTGTTGACCAATGACTGAAACCATTAAAGTAACTGGACTTTCTCTGCGCCAAACACAGAAATGATTTTAAAAAACAATTGCACTAATGAAAATGTGTCCCCTTGGTTTTGTTCTACTCTGAAATAATAATGTCTCTCTAAACATTTGACGGATGCGTTTTATTATTAATGCGTTTATTATGTTGTGTAACCTAGGAACAATCGATTTCTACAATTTTTGTGAGGCAAATATTTAGTACTTGGTTGCTGAAGGCAGCATATTTATCAATTGTTTTATCAGAAATTACCATATGGAGCAATTTATTGACCTGTTGTGGCTTTAAAAAAGCATGGGTGCACTTTGCTAACTGGCCCACTGCACTTGAGAGCATTTTAAAACTTCCAGTTGATTTTATTAAGTTCTGCACTTTCACAAATCAATACTTGCGTTGTTGAAGAACACTGGCCTGTGTTTGTCTTTTGAGTAGGTCTGTCTTCCAGCGTAACAAGGCCCCTGTTTGTTGTGGCTCATGTTTCTGTGGGTGTGAGAAAACAAATCTGCTCCCAGATAAGTCATCAGTGAACCACACGGTTCTGAAGAGGTTTGTAGTCTTGGCGTAGCTGCTTTTCATAAATCGTGTACTGTTAAATCACACCCACGGACATTATTCAGGGCTCAACTTTCCCATCCATTATTTCCAACTGGACGTTACCGTCAGACCACCCATCAGAGGATTTGTCCCAGTCAGCATATTCCCAGACTGTGGGATTTCAGACAAAAACCCCATTGATGGGGTGAATTTTTTATTCAACCTTTTAAAAGTTGTAAAAATAATGTGAGCGCATGCTGAGACTTTTTATACGCCTGTTGAAAGGCGGACGTATTTTGGTACAGTCTCCATCTGTAAACGTTCTCTTGTCCTGCCCATAACTTCTGATCCGCTCAGTCATTTTAACAAAACATCATGCACCTATGCATCATCACTGGAACGAGTGTTGCATGCACCTGACAGCACCCTAGCTCCAAGGTCAAGGACACAAATCAAGGTCAAATGGTATACAAGGTCATTGCTTGTCCGGACCATAACTTCTGATCCGCTCATGATAATTGAACTTGATACACATTCGTACCACCACCAGACAACATGTCACATAATCTTTTCATCACATTGGCTATAATATCAAGGTCACAAATCAAGGTCAAATGTTATACCAGGTCTTTGCCTGTCCAGGCTATTGCTATAGATTGCAGTTTGTTGATGGTTGTATAATGCTCTGTATGCTGTACTCTTGTTTAAACGTTAAAACGAGGTTAATTAACTCAGTCTTGCACAGTTGTTGATTTAGTTGAATATATTTTTTGTGTTCTAGTGTGGTATCTGCTTGTCTTCCATCTTCTTCTTTGAAGAACTCGTTGACATGCCTTGTGGCCATGAGTTCTGCAGAGCATGCTGGGAAGGGTAAGTATGCCATGTTTTCTCAAATAAAACCTTGGACTGGATCGAAAATTGGGCCTCTATTTATTTTTGGGTCAAGGTTGGCCAGCTTGACATGAAGACCAGGCAGGAGGGGTGGAAGGAAGGAGGAAAATCTGAATACCAGAGAAAAATAAAAGTACATTTCTTTGTACTTTTTATTACAATAAATTCAGGCAAATTATAATGCTGTTTTAAACACACTGAAATAATTAAAGCATAGATGAAAAATGATATTGACTCGTTTTGACACACTACATTTGTAGTACCATGATAGTAATTTGTAGCCTCTGTGCTTCATTGTTGTTCCAACATATTGTACTCAGTGTCTCTCTTTCTGATTTCAACCACAACTGAAAAGATTTGAAGCCATATGAACTCACCTGTGACATTTATTGTGTTTCCAATAAAAACAAGTCAAAACTCAGTTGGCTTGCATATGAGTACTCATATATGGGGACTGGGAAAAGTGTAAATTTCTCATTTCAGAATTCCCTGAGGCATTCAATTATACTAAAACACACACTTTGTTTGTTATCAGAGTAAATATAGTGTTTTTGTCTGGAGTGTTGACTGTGAGTCAACTGTAGGGTTTTCCACTTGCACTGTCTTGCTAAGGATGTTTATGGTCTATCTTTAATGTTTGTGTGCTATATTTATTTTTCTTTTGGAGGTTTTTAAATCTAAAGATTCAAGAGGGAGAAGCCCATAACATCTTCTGTCCAGCCTACGATTGTTACCAACTAGTGCCAGTGGAAGTCATTGAGAGTGTGGTCTCCAGAGAGATGGACAGGCGCTACCTGCAGTTTGACATAAAGGTAAATCTGATTTTTTTTTTTTTTTTTTAAATAAACATTTACTTGATTTTATTAGCCACTGAAATGATGAAAATCCAATGTTTGTTAAAGTGTGAGCCTTCTGGCACAAAATGTAGTAAAAATGTTCTTGCTGTCTTCCATACTATCAGCAGCTCGTGATGTTGAGCTGTCCTCTGGTTTAAATCATCCTTGCTTCTTCTCTTTCCAGGCATTTGTAGAAAACAATTCGGCAATTCGCTGGTGTCCCGAGGCGGGGTGTGAAAGAGCGGTCCGACTGAGCACTCAGGGCCCTGGGACCTCCACCGTTGACCCTCTTAGTTTTCCTCTGCTTCGGGCCCCTGCTGTGGACTGTGGAAAGGGCCACCTCTTCTGCTGGTCAGTCATGACTGCTTGACAGTGCAGCTGTAATCAGCATGCCATTCTGGAAAAATGCTCATTTTGGTTTGTGCAGGATTGTTTTTCTCAAAATTTGTAATTTGTAGATGCATAACTGTAATTGTATAAAATATTAAAAAAAACAAGTGTCAAGTAGGAATGCGCGATATAAACAGTACACGGTAGAAACTATAGAAATTTTGCCTACGATATAGATCTGTCTTCTACCGGCTAACCGCAGTAATGCTGTGTCTGAAGTAAAATAAGAGTTGTCAGTTTAATCGTTACTTATTTTTAGTTGAAAACTCTTCGCAAGTGGCGTTAAAGTCTTTTCTTCGAGGGCTAAGTAGCGAAGCTACAAGCTAACTACGTCCGGCTTGCCGTAGTGTTGCCGGATTCTGACGCATGCGCAAAACGTTGTGTTCGTCGAAAGTTTTTTTTTCCCATCGAAAGTTAAAGTAAGCTTTGGTCAGCTTTAAAGAAACCTGCTCTTTGAGCTGTTAAAAGAACGCTGTGTTGTGTGATTTTACTGCGAGACCCTCTGGTCAAAGCCACAGAGTCATTTTGTGTCATCTGTCCTTAAAGCAGGAGGCGCCCACTAGAGGGTTGGAGGGTGAAGTGTTTTCAGTTGCTGCTCTGTTGCTGTTCATTTCTTAAATAAGACTGGAAACAGTTAAGAGTTAACAACATATTTTTTTGTTTAAAAAATATGGCTAAAACTACATTTGATATCTTTTGCACTGTTTTGCACTACAAGAAAGAAGCCTAATACTTGATTTGTTTATTATTTAAAAACTCTCTGGACCTAGTAGTGGAATTTTCTTAATTCAAAATATATGATGGCAAAAGGACACTATGCTTTTTTTTAGTAAGTTTTATACCAAAAACATATTGCGATATATATCGTTATCGCCACCCTTCACAATACATATCGTGATATGAATTTTATGCCATATCGCACATTCCTAGAGTCAAGTGATTTTGATCTGCCTTTTTATACGTGTGATTAAAGGTGAACGTATTGCGGTTCAGTCGCAGTTCTGTCTGAAAACTTTCTTTTGTCCCACCTATAACTTGTTCTGCTATGGATAATTTAACAAGACTTAATTCACATGTGCTTCATCACTAAATGTGTTGTGTACACGTTTCAACACCCCCAGCTTCAAGGTCAAGATCACAAATCAAGGCCAAAGTTAAAACAAGGTCTTTGCTTGTCTCGTCTCTAACCTCTGATCCGTTCAAGATACTTTAATAAAACTTGATACTTGTTTGTACTACAACTACATGTCGTGTAGCATAATCTTTTTATCAACCCAGCTCTAAGATCAAGGTCAAAAGTCAAGGTCAAAAGTTATACAAGGTTGTTGCTTGTCTGGGCCATTGCCATATATTGGTTGACTAATGTGCCATATTCGATTCTGTTGTTCTTTTATATTAGGATTATCGCTGACACCTGAGAAAATGTAATTTTAATCCAAACATTAAAGTCAAATGAAACTCCACATTCTGGTGAGAGTAATCATTGACTCTGTGCTAGTCTGGAAGGATGTACGAAGGCATGTATTGTCCTTCACCTTCTGTTCTCTGTATTTATGATTTTTCACACTGCCCCTGCAGTTCCTTTCCCACCCAGTGTTATAACCTCCATCTCACCACGATTAATCCTACCTAATTACAGTGATGGTACCTCAGTGCACCTTACTTCATTATAGTGCTCTTGAAAGTGGCTGTTGGGTTCACACAGGAGTTTTAACGGACGCAGCATTTATTCAGGGGAATGAATCGCACACAGGTTTAGCTGTAATAATTCCCAGAACATGAAGAGGATGTGCCGTTTAAAGGCGGATTTGGCCAGCTGAAGGTTTTACAGCATGTGTTTTTATAGATGTAAACCTCATTTGCTTTAATTTTATGACGTTTATTCAAGGGACAGAGTGGGATTTTTCCTATCTCCAGTTTCTCTGTCTTTCAGGGAGTGTCGAGGTGAGGCCCATGAGCCCTGTTACTGTGAGACCTGGAAAATGTGGCTACAGAAAGTCACTGAGATGAAACCTGAGGAATGTGAGTACTTCCTTTAATTTACAGGAGTTATACATTAGTAAAGTTCAAGTTTTATTTATACAAATTAAATTCACAATAAAATGCCAAAGGTTAGACTTGGTGTTAAATGTTTTTGTGCCACATCACAGAGCGAAGCGGGGAATTGGAAATACCCTCTGTCTGTCCGTCTTGTGAGCATGATAACATGAAAAATAAATAGTATAGTGTGCTATGTGCATTATATATTGTGCATTAATTATATTAAGCTAATACTACATGTGAAATACTTATTTATAAAAATTCATCCTACTTGCACCGTTATATTCTACCATGTTTTTGTTTACTATATTTCTTTTGGACCGTGTAAATATTATATTTCTTTTTCACTTGTTGGTACTTTATTTTGTACCCGTATTGCATGCTTTAGGTCTTTTTAATTTATTTTTTTCTTTTCGAGTCACATTGGTTCTTCTCATCCTGAACATTTCATTGCATTGTTGACCTTGTGTTAACCTGCATATGACAAATAAATGCATTTGTGAGTTTCCTCCAAGTACTCTGGTTTCCTCCCACAGAACAAAAACATGCACGTTAGCCTGATTGGTAACTCTAAATTGTCCCTAGCTGTAAGTGAGAGAGTGAATGGTTGTTTGTCTCGTTTGTCTCTATGTGTCTCTGTGATGGACTGGAGACTTGTCCAGGGTGTCCCCCGCCTCTCGCACAATGATAGTTGGATATGGGCACCAGTGACCCCAGTGACCCAGGAAGGAAGAAGCTTGGAAAGATAATGGATGGACTTCTGAATGGGACATAGATGCTTTACTTGTGATTTATGAACCGTTTTGAGTTGTTTTCATTGATGTCACATTACAGTCTTTCAGTGTCAGCGACAGCAGGGTATGATAAAAGTTAGCATTTTAGCGTTAGCTTCAGCTAATTTTTTAAAATCTGATTTGCATCAGTGAAGCATACTTTTTTTTTTAGTTAACAAATTAGCAATTAGCA